CTGACTACTATAGCACAGCTGTGAATAAACTATTGTAATACTTTTATAAATGAGGAAGCCCATAACTCAATAAGCCTTATGGTTTCTACTTGGGCTTCCTCGTCACATGCATCTTTCATTATGTTTGTCTTGTAAATAATTCCTTTTTTGTGGCCATTTAATAAATTGAAATTGAAAATTGAAATTGAAATATACGACGATAGCGAATGGTATAATTGTTTTATAATATACGCAAAGGCCGTCGGGTTTTAAAGCAATTATAAAATCAATATTAAAACAAACTTACCTTCGTTAACGTCGGCTCCCTTCTTTTAGCCGATTCTATCGCCATTTCTTTCTTGAAATTTACAAAATCTTGCAAAAATGCGAGCAAAAATGAAATATATTTGCAAGAAATTTATCAATCATCAAATCTCTGTGATCAAATAAAGAAATGTTTGCTATTTCGCTGTCGTCATGCAGTCGTTATAATGCAAACTTTAAATTGGACCAATCACAGTGTTTGCTATTCATGACAGTCCGCCATATTTTTGAGATCAGTGAGGATGACCACCCACGGTTGGTGACCCACTCCCGCGATATTTGATGAACTTTAGACTTCGCTAATGCTTTCGTTTCCCCTGGTGTAAATAGCCGGGGGGAATTAGTACCCTCGCACGGCGCTTCGCGCCGTCGGCTCGGGGAATATTTCATGTATTTACATTCATTTGTTCTTTAATTTGTTGTTTCTTTGACTATTGATATATAATAAAACACTTATTTACTGAGACCTCGGGAAAGCAGTGTGTTTTGTGGACCCTCGACCGTCGAAAACACACTGTTTCCCTCCGTCTCAGTAAATAAGTGATAAATATTTATAAATATATGTATGTACCTATATATGTTTACATATCATGTTTTTACATGTCGTGTTGTCTCTAATAAAAAGTCTAAAATCTAAATGTAAATGTATGTTTATAACTATTTAAAATATTAATGATCTGAAATTACCTACAAGGTTGCATTACGTGCGCAATATGGAATAAAGGAATTACTAAATGGGCATGCATTTACCCATTTTTCAGTAATGTGAATCTTTATTCCAGAGCTTGAGTAAATATGCTCATAATTTGATTAATTTGAGTCACTGCGTATGGATGCGCAGGCATTCATTTTTTACCCAAGCTTTCGAGTCAAAATACTCAGGCATTTTTTTCCAGTCAATTTATTAATTCGTTTTCAAACAGAAACTGATTAGTGGACGGGTTCATGCATGGTTATAGATTACGAAACTCATTGTATACCCTTTAGAGTTAATTTGTCGAGTTTTATCTAGACCATATATCAGGCCATATATCAAAATTAATACGAAATGCCTACTTTGTAGGCTATATATATGGACGATAACTTGGTTCCGGTTTGCATGAATTATTTTGACTCACTGCAAAAGCGAAACATTTCAATAGTGAAATAAAATAAACCATGCGCAAGAACAATCCGTAAGAAAATCAAATATTGGAGTATAAATTACTGCTGCCTCAGATATATATTGCGAAACATTTCAATTTTGTCGAAAATTGATTTCACAAATCTCTATAACATGTGATAGTTATACTGATTATAGATCCATCCAGCTCAGAAATGAAGATTAATATCGTCGAGCATTTTCAACATAGCGGACGAAATCTTCTTTTATTACAACATACCAGGAAATAGAACCGAAATATTACATAACTTCTCCTTATGCTTTTGAGGAATGATTTGCTGAATTTAATTGTTTCTGGAGTACAATCATAGGCTGGATACCGGGTAAAATTTATATCAATTTTCATGACATTTGAAGTTTACGGCAGACCGATAACCATGCAAAATAGGCAAACTTCAAATCGCATTGGAAGAAAGTTCGTCACGTTTTCGACAGCTATGTATACTAGCTAATTTGGCTTCAAAATTAATCCACAGATTGCCCAAACATGGAGCAGCTAACAGTTGACCTCAGAATATGATTTGAAGTTTGGCGTTTGCGGTTAGAGTCCCTATTATATCCTGATCTGCCAAAAAATTCATATTTTATATTTTTATTTTCATGCAGGTCAAACGTCCGCAACATGATCAGCGTTTTCTTACCGATTGCCATTTTCGTTTGCTTTCTTTTTTTATCATGTCCATGCAAAGGTGAGTCAAAGTGAGGCAACATTGATAATTTTTGAGAGCAGTTCGAGAAATATCCTGATCAAACAATGCTGCATGCAACTGATTTGGCTATTAATATCGGTCAAGGGACGAAATGCGTATCTGAAATGTATATCAATCATTTAAGATCCTCTCGGGAATTGTTATTTCCAATAATACAGTAAGTGATATAGATCGATCCTGTAATGCTATATTATTGACATTTTATCAACAGAATACAACATTTGAAACTCCCGTCTTTAACTTTATTTAGCCTTAATTGTTGAAGTTTTCGATGAGCTTGGGATTTTCAATTTCATGTAGTGTAAACTTGGCAGAGGTTATTTCAAAAGATAATTTATATAAAATTAATCAAAAACATGAACAGCGATAGGTACGTTATATTTTTAATCAGTTAGTAGCTATACGTATTGCCCATGCATACAGGAATAATGATGCGTTCGCATCAAGTAAGTTCAATTAGGCCCTAATGTGATCAGGTAAAAGTCCAAACTGTAGTATTTAGCCATAGGCAAAAATGTCTATATAGCCCATGCATATATCAGGGGATATAATAATGTTCTCCTACTAGAGTAAAAAATAGATTCGGGAATTTTGGCTGCCAAACTTCAAAATAAGGAAAGTGTATAAATGAAATATGCATGCAAATAAAACCTCGTGGAGATCAATAATGTAATTGATCGTAAAACTAGCTAATTAAATATGGAAATTTTTTGCTTTTTCTTTACAAAATGACAACGGAAAACACAAGATAAATATAGTCACTTGCATGCATAATATAAAGCCTGGCGCATACGATGCGATTTTAGTCGGCCGATAAAAATCGTTTGACATACCGATATAGCTCCCTGAACTGTAGCCGCCATGTTGCCAAATAAATACAAGCACGTGATCACAGCATGAAATCTGATTGGTTATATACTTAAAATTCCACGAATAAAAATTGTATAATATCAAAACCTTTTGATGTTGCCCGATTAAAATCGAGCAACAAAAATCGGTTAACACACAACGATTTTGTTAGTTTTAGTCAAACGATTTTTATCGGCCGACTAAAATCGCATCGTGTGCGCCAGGCTTAAGGGACGGCAAGAGATATCAGGCAAAGAACTGTATGCAATATTTGTCAGTATTTCGGACGTTAAATATAAGAACATTTCACATGATTTTGCCAAACGTCTAATTAAGATTGAATTTTACCAAACAAAATTAAGTTTACAGAATTTCCAAATGCTCTGGATTAAACATATTTCAATTGTTTTTGCCACATTGGAAAAAATATGAAAAATATATGACAGTGTTACCACAGAGTAAATACCATACAGAGGTCTCACTTCTTACTAATTTCAGCATAAGGGATTTTCCAGTCCGACATGTTCTTAGCAAGTCCTTAAAAAGAGGCAGTCACCGCGCCCTGATAACATATTGAAATTAAATGTTCCAGGGGGATGAGTGCCTCTCTTCAGAGCACTTGATAAGAACATGGCCACGCCAGATACATATAAACAGTATAAACGGGGGGGGGGGTAGGGTTCTCGTCACAAAATCACGAAGATCACTTCAAATTTCACGAGTCACGAAAAACAAAATTTCATTTTCACGATTGTTAGAACACAGAAGCGTAACAAAGTTTGAAACCATTTAACGATTTTCTAGACAGCAGAACTCGGTGTTAACACAACACATTTTACTAAAATCATTGCGAGGCATTACGACACATTACGAACGTCTTCCGAAGGAACGAAGGTATAAGACAACGACGTTTACGATGAAACGAAGAAAACCTTGGGTATGAGGTTGAAGAAAGACAACCGAAAATACCCTTGCCCCCCATCTTTTTCCGTGATGTGCAGAGACCTCTCTATGGTTAGTACTCTGTTGTACGATGGCACCTTTCAAGGGTATTCACCATTTCGCTGGAGCGACATATCTGATCGGTCTAAGTATATCGTTGCTTCATGTAAAATAAAATAAAACAAATTATGAACAACAAATCTTGAACTATGCGTTACTACTTGAGTTTTTGTTTTGATTTATGATTTCATGAGTTCAAAAAAATATGTTCCAAAAAACTGTTCAAGACTATATACACATATTCGGATTAAAAATGCGAAGGGTTGCCGAATGCATGTATTTCTAGGTATAATAGCTTATCAAGAATTCTATTTTTGATCCATGCTAATTCATTGTATAACTGTATGTGGCAGTACTTATTACCTGCGTCTAGATTCCACAAAACTAGTTAGATTTTGCAGGTATAAACAATGAAATTTATTCAATTAACAAAGTGATTTTTATTTCCAGTAAATGCAAGGACAACAAAAGCCCCAAATACCAAGATTTCCGGACCAGGTGAATATAATTTTTATTCGGAATAATTAACAATTATGGTAAATATCCTTGCACCATTTACAGACACTGACGTAGATAATTGTTTAAACATGTCTACAAGCAGTTTTTACAAGCAGTTTTTACAAGTATAATGTGTACAAGCAGTTTTTACAAGCTTTTGGAATTTTATTCATTAGTATTTTTCCTGTTTTTCTATACAGTTTGAAAACAAATGGAAAAACTCGGCTTTTGCATGGGCTAGTCTTCCCACTGACTATTTCTCGTTTTCCCACACTCCAAAGACTGTTTAGAAACCCGGAAAATGTTTTCTATTTCTTAACTATTTAATTTTATACAAAAGGCAGTAAACATATATTTGTATCATTTTTAATTCATGCACAGATAAAGCAGGTTCCACGAAATCAAGTTGTGGATCAGAATGGTATTTATTTATCCTATTTTTCGTATCCGGTATCATTATTGGACTTTTTATTCAGTTTTACATTGTATATGTGGTGTTTTTTCGTCGTCGACCAAGAAATTTAAAGAATCAATCAAATCGAGAGCCAGAAATGAGAGCTGAGGTCGAGGATAATGACGCAGTTTATCAAGATCTCGATTTAACTGAAATGAATTCTGAAGATAACTATCAGTCGTTGACAGTGAATTCTTGTGACGACGAGGAAGCATACGAATATGATAATACATACGCCGACTTAAACAAAATCAGGGATGTTGAAGAAAATTATCAATCCTTAACTTGGTGATGAAGAACTGAACATCTATTTCGAGCTTGTGCGTACTGTACTTGAATCACGGGCTTTAGGACAAATTCAATTCGACAACAATAGTATTCTATCTAAATAGCAGTTAAAATAAAGTGTACGGCACCTGAACTGTTCAATATCTTGCTTCTATATCCATAAAACATTTGCATATATGCAAATGCTGTATATTTTCAAAATCCGCCATATTTATTTACATTAGAACCCAAGCTTTCGCGGTTCACACGTAATATTAACGTCGGTTATTTTCACTAATAATAAGAGGGTAGGATTAAAGTGGGCGTTGTCACTCGCTAACCCAATCAGCTGTCTGGGTTCTGTACCACGTGACCTATTCAAATCGTTCCGAGCGGGAGGAATCTTATGACATCATAACGGCTTCGATAAAATAATAATATAAAGAAGTTGGGGACACGTTTGTGCCATATATGGAAGCATGGTTTCCTCGCGCTTCAAACGATTGAACAATTGGATGATCCTACCCTCTTATTATTAGTGAAAATCACCGACGTAATTTTTCGTGTGAACCGCGAAACGGCGAAAGCTTGGGTTCTAATGTAAATAAATATGGCGGATTTTGAAAATATAGAGCATTTGCATATAGTCTAGGATCTGTATAATGAGTTTGTATGCATTTCATTTAGGACAGATAATCTCAACTGTTTTAAGGTAAGTTGACAATGACGGTCAACATGGTAATGCTGCCCGAACCCACAGATATCTTATATACACTAGATAGTGCATCTAATTATTCTGCAATTCAAAAATTGAAGCCGTGATTGCAGTCTCAGGTCGTTCCTATGAAATGAGAAGATTCGTATGTTTTCTATTTCTTAAACAGGGAACTTAAACATTAAGTTAACCCTATTCCAAATACGTTTTTAAACTATTTAAATAATAAAAGTTATTGTTGTTTTTAAGTGTTTATTAGCAAGTGGGAACGACCAACATGGCCGCCATCTATTCAAATGAGGGTAACCGCTGTAATATTCTTGGCTTCAATTTTACTAAATGAGATGCGCTATCTAGTGTATATAAGATATCTATGCCCGAACCCCAATCCGGGGCGAATCGTCCGAAACTGACCACACCCAAAAACGACGCTTTCACCATACTGCTATCTACCAAACCATAAAAGCTTTGGCTATTCTGTTATATGGTTCAGAGATGGTACTTTTGGGGGTGGTCATTGGTAAGTGTGAAATGCCAAACAATAATATTTCACAAGAAAATGGCCATGCAATAATCATAGTTAAACGTCAATTTGTGGCTTGCAAATTCAGATAAACAGCAGTGGACTTACATTACCTTTTTCCCTCAATCTTTTTGATAGAAACATAAATGGTACTTATTTAAATATATTATCACTGGTTTGGTGTAAAATAGTTAATATTTTCTGACCGAAATAATAATTTGAAATGTGCCTATCTCCTGCAAATGGACGTATTTGGCCACGTTCTCCACTTTACTCCGCTGTTTATCGGCGATCTCGTCGACATCCTACAAAAAATGTAAATCATCCAAGACATAATGGTATCAAGAACATTTTAAACAAGTTTCAACTTGGTTTCAAGTAGATCATACCTGTTTAACCATCGACAAGGTAAATCCACAACTTTGTCCAAATTCAGCGCCATTTTGTCATCCCATGTCGCTTGTTAACAATTCAGCCTTGTTACTCTTCCATCCAAGCCATTTCCATTCCACTAACAATAAATTTAACCCTTTATAACAGGAGGAAACTAAAAAATCTAAACAAAATATAAGAAATACGCCATTTTATCACCCTGTAAAATGTTGTTTACGAGTCCTTCAAAACATTCCGTACAAATCTCGCGTGGTTTGGCAACAGGGACGTGACAGGGGGGGTAGAGACTTGAAAAATGAAAGGAAAGCCCACACAGTATGGTAAAACCAACAATCAACATTTAATTTGTATGACTTTTTCATATTAATAAATAATAATATGTATATATTTGTCGCTACAAGAAATAAAACAAACATTTGTATGATTGTATTTAGCTTTTAGTCTATTTCACGCAGCCTTCTTCTATCTTCGTGAAATAATTCACCCCCTCCTGTCACATCCCTGTTACTTTGTCACGCGATATTTGTACGGAATGTTTTGAAAGACTCGTGAGCAAAATTTTACATGGTGATAAAATGGCGTATTTCTTATATTTTGTTT